ACAAAATTGAGAAAGAAGTACTGCATAGGCAGAAATTAGAGAGAACAGAACCGTTCAAACAGATGCCCGAAGCAAGGGTTTCATGGCTACTGATGGCTAGTGGCTTCTAGCTGTGACACACACTAGCAGACCACAACAGAGGGTCTCTCACCTTCTTAAACTCGCGCACAGGCACGAACTGCACAATGTCGCGGACTGCTCTGCCCTCCTCAGTCTCCAACATCCCGCGGTCCCCGTTCAGCTCTCGCATGTCGGAGAAGTCAGCGTTCCCGATGCCCACAATGATGATGGACAGAGGCAGGCGGGAGGCCCGCACGACGGCATCACAGGCCTCGGGCATGTCGCTCACCACACCATCGGTGAGGATGAGCAGCACGCGGTACTTCTGTGGAAGAGGGAGAGGAGGGTCTCAAGGCAATGATGTGGCAAGAGGCTACCCCTGGCCCCTTTGGGGTCCTAGATGTCCCCCCCATACCGTGGGCATTCCAGTTTTCTCCTCTTCGGCTGCAGGACCCGCCACCTTGTTGATGATGGGCGCCACGTTGGTCGGGCCATAGAGCTCAATCTGGGGCAGACAGCGCTTGTAAGCCTCGATCACTCCCAGGATCTCTGCGAAGAAAAGGAGGAAAGAAACAGGCCTAAATTCCCACTAGACCTGGAACAGGAAATGCAGGAGGACTTCCCCGGGCACGTGCACCCTTCCCAGTTGTGCGGCAGGAGGAAAACCAGCAGGTAAAGACCCTCACCACCTGCACAACTGTTCAAATTACAACTTGTGGAAGCAGAGAAGGCACGCTTTGGGGGAAAAACAGCAATCTCTTAGGCATTCTTCACGTTAAGCATTTAATGCATCAACCCCACCTCTTTTCCATTTCCCACAAGAAATGGTTTCTGCAATCTGCTAATTTCTAGAGAGCTGGGATTATAAATGCCAGCCCTCCCTCCCAACCTGGTTCAGGTGAACAGTCCAACTGTTTGAAAAGACAATAGAATGGGGGGGGGGGGGGGGGGGGGGGGGGGGGGGGG